ACACTGTTCTTGCAGAAGACCTGGGTTCAAATCCCAGCACCCACATAGCAGCTAACAACTGTCCATAACTCCAGTTCCAGGGGGTCCGATAGCCTCTTCTGACCTCTGCGGGCATTGCACAACATAGGTGCACTTACCTTCATGCAGGCAATGCATGCATACACATAAAATAAAATTAATAAAAATAGCTGGGTGTGGTGGCTCACGTCTTTAATCCCAGCACTTGGGAGGCAGAAACAGGCAGATCTCTGTGAGTTCGAGGCCAGCCTGGTCTACATAGTGAGTTCCAGGACAGCTGGGGCTACAGGAGACCCTGTCTCAAAAAGACCAAAAAAAAAAAAAAAGAACTAATATAAAAAAAAACTCACTTTCTTAGTTGTCCCCAGCGGTAACACACCTTAAAACTATAATAGAATATCAGCCAGAGTATTGATATTGGTACAGTTAAGATACAACTCATTTCTATTACCACAAGCACCTATCATGTTGCCCTTTCATTGTCATTGTCACTCTTCCTCTTCCTCTGTCTCTGTCTCTCTCTGTCTCTCTCTCTCTCTCATGTGCTCTCACTCTGTTCTTTCTCAATCTCATCCCAATGCTTATGAGATAGAACAAAAAGACAGAAAAAATTAAGGGGACACGGGAGGGGAAAGGAAACCTAGCCCAGGAGTCAGGTTGAAGCCTCTCATCGTCTGAGAGTCTATAATTCTAACACAATTAATACATTTGCTATAAAGTTTGCCTACACAGATAGTTTTTTTTCACTTTTTAAATTTAAAAAAATTTTTTTTCTTCACTCAGACCTAAAGTATCAATACTCATTAGGTGGTGAACTCTGTTGATGAAAAATATTACCATCATTGTAGGGATTCTTTTTTTTTGTAGGGATTCTTTTTATATAAATATGTTTCAAATTAGAGTGTTAAAATAGCAGTGAATCATGCTTAAGGCCTAGGCATATATATGACCTTATTATGGCCTTTCTCCTTTCCCAGGTGTCAACATGCAGTTTTCTAGAAATCTCAAAAGAACCCCCATTTACAATAAAAGATATGTCTTAACCCCTTGTGCAACCATCGTGGTAAAATACTGTGGTTTTACCTTTTCAGATAACAATCCTGTCCAACACACCTCTAGAACTACCCTATAATTATATACATATATAGATTTTTAAAAAATTCTTTAGCAACCCTTTGAGATGTTATTTGAGAGCTACTAAAATCATGTATACAACTATTGCTAAGATACTTAAACACATATTTCTCTTGATAAGTTCACACTTACACTAGGGATATGTGTTATCTTTTTTCTGACTACCTTTTATTCTATTGACCTCTCCCACTGCCCTGCCCAGTGCTTAAAACTATGTTAAAAATTTCTTCTTGGGTCTGAAGATGTGCACACACCCATGCACATGCAAAGAGCAACAAAAATCTCTTCTTAATAAACTCCAATTCTTCATAGTGGCTCATCCTAAAATTATTTTCTGCAGCAAAGTTACAAATTATGTCTTCACCTGAGTAGAGGTCTTTATAAAGAACTCGGGAGCTATAGGCAGCAGCATGGAACTATATTGACCGTCCTGCCCCTCTGCTGCGAACACTTAACCTCAGTAACCACTAACCTATTCTCTATTCCTATAACTTTGTAACTTCAGATGTTATTATATAGAGTAACATAAAACATTTGTTCCTGCAGTTATAAGATTGGAACTTTGTGTAAGCCAAGTATACTTTTATGGTTTGAATATGAAATGTTCCCCCCAAAAGGCTATTGTGTTGAAGTCCTGGTCCCCAGCTGATAGTGCTGTTGATTGGATCATGAGGGCACTGAACTTCCTCAATTGGTTAATCTGTTGATGAATTCTTACTGAATGGGCTATAGAAGACAGTAACTGGGGGCGTGGCTTTGAAGGGTGTATTGTGGCTTGCTCTCTCCCTTCCGTTTCCTTTTCTCTCCCTTTTTTTGGCCACTATAAAGTGAACAACTTCTGACATCACCCTTTTTCACATTATTTTCTGCTTCACTCCATACCTATCCAGAACCACAGAGCCAAATGACCATAACCTCTGAAACTGTGAGACAGAATAAATCCTTTCTCCCTGAGGTTGTTTTCTCAGGTATTTTGTCATGGCAGCACCATACTAACAGAAAGTTGGCACTGAGCTTTGGGGTCATTGATATATAACTGTTACTGACCATGTGGCTCAGAAGCCTTTGCAACTGGTTTGTAGGGAGAATTTGGCAGAGTTAGGAGATGCAGGTACTCTAAGTGCAGCTTTATGAAACATTTTGGTGGGAGCTCAGACCAGAATGCTGATGGAAGTAGACAATAAAATCTAGACTTTCCATGTTCTAGATGGCAGTGAGAATACTCTTGAGAACTGTACTAAAGGCCATTGCTAGTACAAACTTTGCTTATATTTGCCATGCCTGAGACTTTGGAGGAGCTGAATTGAAAGGTAACAGATTAATTAATCTGGTAGATAAAATTTTAAGGCACCCCATCATTCAGCCTGGCATGGCTATTGCTGACTGCTTTTAATCAGATTTACAGGGAGAATATAAACCAGATGAATTTGAAAAACTTGTAGTTCAGTAGATAGACAGACAGACAGACAGATAATGAATGAATAAATGTTTGAAGTTGGGGCCAAGGATGGTGTGATTGTTGAAGAGATTAGAGTCTTTAAAGAGAAGCCAAGTACTTTGCATCAGAGTAACAAGAAAGCGGTCTTAGCCAGGTATGGTGGCACATGCTTTTAATCCCGGACAGGGGCAGGCAGCTCTCTTGGTCTACATAGTTCCAGGCCAGCCAGGGATATATGAGACTGTCTCAAACAAACAAAGAAAAAAGAAAAAGAAAGAAAAATGTCTTAAGGGCACCTCAGGAATTGGTTCTACCCTATTCATGCCAAGATCAAGGTTGTAAAGATGTAAATTCATTTCAAAGACACTGCTTTGGAAAGAACTACAAGTGGCTTCTGCATGCACAGAGATTCTTTGGAAAGTACTTTTCTAGGTTTGACTGCCCAGGCAGCTTTGGTTCAAGGTTACCTAGTCAACATTCAGTTTGGCAGCAGACCATCATCCACATGATGCAGTTTTACAGGCATGTAGATTGTGAGATCACAGAGCTTTCTATCCCAATTTCAAAGGAAGGCCTGGTAGTCCAGACAATATGTGGTAGGGTCAGGTTCCCTGCAGGCAGCCTCTGAGGGGACAATTGAAGCTATGAGACTGAAGCCTAAGATGCAATGAAGACCTCATGTTGGAATTGCCAGGAGCATGGGCCATCTGGCTGAGGAAAACCACAGGCAGAAAGTGCTAACTCAGAAGAGAGACCATGTGAGTGGGCTATGGCAACAGGAGCAGAGCTACTCAAGCTCTTTGGCCCTCACAGCGCACTACAATAGATGTCGGACATGGAATTACAGGCTTTGGGGGTTGCCCATTGAGTTTGTTTTTTCCTTTGGTTTGATGCTGGCTATTCTCCTATTCCTCTGTATTGGAATCAGAATGATTACTCTATGGTTTTGCATCTTGAGAGAACATAACTTTTTGATTTTTTAAAAATAGTAGGTCACAGGTAACAATTTGCCTTGAGTCTCTCAGTCTTTAAAATTGGAGGGTTTTTAAAAATATTTTATTATTTTTATTTTATGTGTATATATGTATTGCCTGCATGTAGGTAAGTGCACCCATGTCATGCAGTGCCCTCGGAGAACAGAGGAGGCTGTCAGATCCCCTGGAACTGGAGTTATGGACAGTTGTTAGCCGCCATGTGGGTGCTGGGATTCGAACCCAGGTCTTCTGCAAGAACAACCAATGTTCTTAACCGCTGAACCATCTCTCCAGCCCTGAAATTGGAGTTTTGGGCAATGCTGGAACTTTTAGGACTTTCAGAACTCTTAGATTGAATGTGTTTTGTGTTATAAGATAGCTGTGAGCCTTTGGGAGCTAGGAGCATAATGTCGTGCTTTGAATATGAAATGTCTCTCCAAAAGGCTTGTGTTGAAGGTATAGTCCCCAACTTATGGCACTATTTTAGGAAATTGTGGAAACTTTAGGAGGTCGGGCCAAGCTGGAGAAAGTAGATCCTAGGTGTGTGCCTTTGAGGATGTGCTTTGTTCCCTCTCTTCCTTGCTCTTTTCTTCTTGTCTGTCATAGGTAAACAGTCTCTTCCATATGCTTCTGCTACCATGATGTTGTGCCTCATGACAGTCCAGGATCAGTGGAACCAAGATTACAGAAATATCTGAAACTATGAGCCAAAATAAATCCTTCCTCTTTTAATTTGCTTATTCAGGTATTTTTTCAGAGCAATGAGAAAAGGAACCAATATACTACTCAATGGGGCTGGGTGTGGTGACACACACGTTTAATCCCAGCACTCAAGAGGCAGAGGCAGGTGGATCTCCGTGAGACTGAGGCCAGCCTGTTCTACATAGTGAGTTTGAGGCTAGCTGGGGCTACAGGGAGACCCTGTCACTAAAAAAATTAATAAATAAAAATTACTGACTAGAGAGGCTAGAGAGATGGCTCAGGGGTTAAGAGCACTAACTGCTCTTGCAGAGGACCCAGGTTCAATTCCCAGCACCCGCATGGTAGCTAACAACTAATAACTCCAGTTTCAGGAGATCCAATGCCATCTTCTGAACCCTGCAGGTAATGCACAACATGGGCGCACTTACGTACATGCAGGCAATACACTCATACACATAAAATTTTTTTTTAATTACTGGATAGAGCCAGACGTACTTGTGACTCTACTAGCACTGAGGAGACTGAGACAGGAGACTCATGAGTTCAAGGCCAGCCTGGATTACATAGTAAAACTCTTGTCTCAAAAACAAAAGAACAGGGGCTGGAGAGATGGCTCAGCAGTAAAGAACACTGGTTGTTCTTGCAGAAGAGCCGGGTTCAAATCCTAGCACCCACAAGGCAGCTAACATCTGTCCATAACTCCCAGGGGATCCGACATCCTCTTCTGACCTCTTTGGGCATTGCAAGACATAGGTGCACTTACCTACATGCAGGTAATACACTCATACACATACACTCATACAAAGGCGTGGTGGTGCACACCTTTGATCCCAGCACTCGGGAGGCAGAGGCAGGCAGATCTCTGTGATTTTGAAGCCAACCTGGCCTCCATAGCAAATCCAGGCCAGCTGGGGCTACAAGGGAGACCCTGTCTCAAAAAGATGAAAAAGAAAAGGGAAAAAAATGACAATAAACATATTTTTGAGTAGTAGTCTATGGTATAGTTTTACACTGCAATTTAATTGTTCATATATTAAAGGACATCTAAAAATGACAATAAAGAACATATTGTTGAATAGTAGTCTATGGTATAGTTATACACTACAATTTAATTGTTCGTATATTAAAGGACATCTGAATTACTTCCAGATTTTTTTATTTGTTCCTTCAAAAAATTCAGAATTTAGCAAGGATAAAATTTCCTATATGCTAAAAAAACAAACAAACAAACAAAACCTCTGAAATTTAAAACACAGCACAGGAAAAAAGGGACTGAAAGAAAGGATAAGAAAAGATATACATATACATAAACCTAACAAAGTATGTACAAGAACTGTATGAAAAGCCTGCATGGTAGCATATACCTTTAATTTCAACACCCAGGAGGCAAAGGCAGTCAGATTTTTATGAAATCAAGGCCAGTGAGTTCAAGGTCAGCTGGGGGCCACAGGAGGAAAAAAATACTATAAAATTCTAGTGAGAAATCAAAGAAAATCCAAATAAAAGGATACTCAATCTTAAGGTGTTTAGTAGGTGAATGGGTATTCAAATAATGGAGTGGTATTCAGTCCTGAAAAGAAAGAGCTATCAAGCCATGAAA